TTGTGGTATTCATGTTAATCTTGCTGATATAAAGGTATCTGGTAGAAAAATTAAACCGGTAGCTAAATATGATGAACCATTGAAATGTGTTTGTAGAAATAATTTTAATAATAAAAATTTACTAAACGAGAATATTGATTTTAAACTATTAGAATATTTAAAAAAGTCTAATTTAAATAGTTGTGTATTAAAAAGTATATTTAGAGGTTTTAAACACAGTCAAAAAACACTTATACCAATTAAATCTGTTAAACCATCACTATTACCAATTGTTGTGAAAGAATTCTATAATCCATGTTCTCATGATAATCGATGTTGTAATTCTAATTGCTCTTGTGTTAGCAAGGAAGTATCATGTGAATTAAGTTGTTCTTGTGTAAAATGTTCTAGAATAAGATTTTGTAATTGTAAAATTAAGTGTGAGAAAGATTGTGTTTGTATTAAGAATAATAGAGAGTGTATTGTTGGTCTTTGTGGGTGCTGTTTTGATTCAAAAAGATGTAATAATTTTCAATTTGATCGAAAGGGAAATACTAAAAAATTAAGCGTATTTAAATCACCTTAACACTGTTTTGGTTTATTTTCTGATGAAATTATAATTAAACAAAATGAGTTTGTAATGAATATACTGGAGAAATAATTACAGACAAAGAAGCTGAAAGAAGAGGTAATTTTTATGAAATTAATAACTGTTCATATCTTTTTAATCTAGTAAATGAAGGAACGGAAACTCTTTATTCGATTGATGCATTTGTCCTTGGTAATAAAAGCAGGTACATTAACAACAGTAGTAAGAAACCAAATCTTAAAGCTGAAATAAGAATAGTTAATGGAATGATTAGAATAGGTTTTTTAGCTTTGAGAGATATTTATAAAGGTGAAGAATTGTTATTTGATTATAATTTTACTGAAGAACAACAAAGAAAACATGGAATTATTGAATAAAATTTTTATTAAAAAAATGATCAATAACTTTTATGAACAGAATTTAAAAATCAATGACCATAAAGGCAAGGAAATTGATTTAAAAGGATTTAAGGGGACTGAATTACTTATTGTTAATATAGCAAGTAAATGTAAGTTGGCAAATAATGCTTACAGAAAGATTAAGAATTATAAATCAAAAGGTGTTAACATTTTAATGTGTCCATGTTCACAATTCTTTAATCAAGAACATAAGAATGTTCAAGACACCCTTGATGACTTAAAGAAAAGAGATTTAGAAGTTGACAATAAACAAGTTTTTATAACTGAACCAGTTTCAGTTAAAGGAAACAAGATTCACCCAATTTTTAAGTTTCTAATTAAGGAAAAGAATAGTTTATTTTTCAAGAATGTTCATTGGAATTTCACTTTGTTTTTAATTGATAAAGAAGGGATTGTCACAGAAAGAATAAATCCAATTGGTCACTTGTTTAAATAAATTTGTGAATTTAAAACACTTTAATGGGAATTACAAGTAATATTTTAGAACATTTTAAATTAAAATCAGAAGTTAAATTGAATGAAATACAAGAAGAAGAAAATAATGAAGAAGAAGTTGATGAAAACAATGAAGAAGAAAAAAGTTTTATTTGGGATGAAAATATTTTACCTTTAACTGATTATTTAAAAAATCAAACAAGGGCTAATAAGTGTAAAATAGAAGAAATATCTAATCTTTATTATAAACCTTCTAAGATTATTTCTATTGCACATGCTATAACATTAGAATTATTAAAGAAGTTATCTGCTAGAGATTTGATTGAATATGATGGAAAGAAAAAATCACTAAATATTACGTAGTTAATTAACTTCAATAAAGGATTAATTAATTATTTAGGAAAAGATGCAAAATTTAAAATATTAAAGAAGATGGCTAAAAACTCAGAGTTGTGTAAAGATTATAATTTAGTGAACATAATTCAGATAGTAATGAGACAATTTAGACTTTCAAAGAAGAAATTAGAACTAGTTAAATTTTATAAAGATTTAATAGAAAACGGTGTTCCTGAAGGATATGTGCTACCATTTGAATGGATGCTTAAAGATTGTGCTGATTCAAATGTAAATGTTGATTCTGAAATAGCTTCAATGAGATTTTGTAAGATTATAGATAAAGTCAATGAGATGAAAGCTATTGAATATGAATTTATTTTAAAAGAAAAACATAGACAATTCCTTTTTGGGAAAATTTTTGAAAATTTAGAAAAGAAACATTTAAAACCTAAAACTAAAAAATTAACATCTAAAAATTTATCAGCTAATCTGTAAAATTTGCACTCACCCTTACAAAGTATTTATACAATTCAAACAACTCTTTGTATTGATTTTTATAAATAAAAATAAAGTAAGGAATTTTTATAAATTTAGTTGCTTTAGGTAGTGCGTATTTAAAATCTTCTATAATTTCATAAACAAAATTAATAAAACCGTTCCTTTCATCAAGACTATTAAAAATTAAAACTTCACAATCTTTAGGTTTAAAATTTTTATGAAATCCTGGTATATAATAATGATTCTTCATGGATTTTTCATCAACATTTTCTATAACTATGTCTTCCACTTGAAACAAAGCATAAAACTCTTTATCGTTTATAATTTTATATGGTTTACAATTTTCAATTGGTTTTTTACCCTCCCTAAAATACCAATAATTTCTTGATCTTAATTTGTATAAATTTTTTCTTAAATAAACTGCTTCATCTCCAATATAACCAACTATCGGTCTTTTAGGTACTATAATTTCAGTTCTAATTAATAATGATTCACATATGTAAAGTGGGTGATATCTTAACATATTGCTTTTTGGTGGTAATTTTTCTACTCTAATTTTATCAAGTTCACCAAAACAAGAAATATCTAGTTTTAATTTATTAGATACTTGATTTTCAAACATATCTTTGATAATATCAAGTATCTTAATGAAATATACGTAGTGGGTAACATTTCTTGTGAAATAGTAACATTGATCTTTTATAGTTCCATCAAAATCAACTGAAAAAACAAAACCATTATAAAGAGTAGT